GAGGGGCCGCCCGCCCGCGGGGCGACGAAATGGCGGCGGGCGCCGCGGCCCCGCGCCGCGCCGGCCCCGCCGGGGGCGCCACCTCGCAGAGAGACGAACGGCCGCAGACGAATTTCCTGCGGCAGCCGCTGGCCCGGCCACGGCCACAAACGCAGAGGGGCTGTTAGAGGCGCCCGAGCCACGGGGGGAACCCCAGGAGCGRCAGGTTGCCCTCCCGGGCGCTCCCGTGCGGCTGTGGGGGCAGGAAAACGGCCCCGGGGGGGAGAAAACGGCGCCGAGCTGGAGCCGGCCCTGCCTTGCCACGGGCACTCGTGCCAGCACCCGCGTGGCTGAGTAAAGTAATAAAAGAGTAAACAGTAAAGACAACGAAACYCCCTAAATGTAAAACTACATCCCATCGCCCTCCCTTGCATGGGTGTGAAATTCCCTCCTCGTGCCAGCGGCCACTTCGGCAGCGCTGCTGCGGAGCGGCACAAGTTGGCACGTCGCGGATCGCGCAGCAGCGCGACCCTGCGCGCCCGAGCATGAATCCTGTGGGATTGCAAGTGAGGAAAATGAGCTGCGTGTAAACCAGCGGGTGCCAAAACGCCCAGGAGAGGCGCAAGGGCGCAACTGCGGCAGCAGCGGCGCGTCTGGACCGCGCGAGCGGTGCCGGATGGTTTTTGTACACATGTAAAACGCTCTCAGCGCRCTATGCAGGCATGCTGTGAACTCCCCTAATTGTTTAATTTCTCTTTGATACAGRCAGATGAAAAGGCGGCCTGCTCTGCTGAAACCCTGTAAGCAGTTTTCCATTGCATCTATCCATTATGCAAAAGGAGTTTTACAGCCATGTGACTGGAAAAATAAATTATGKATGGCCGGAGCGTCTAAAAGCTTCCTAGTGGATGGGGTTGTGTTACATCAGAGCCGAGCTTCTCAGAAACTCCCATGACTTCTTAATGTTCATTAGCTGCTGAAAGCTGAGGTATGACACAGGCAGATGCGCTTTGTTTCTCATGACAAGACCATCAAAGCCAACATGTTGGTAAACAGCAGCATTAAATGCAGTATTAAACGGGGACGGGGTGCAAAAAAAGGGCAGATTTATAGCGGAGGGTCACTGGTTTGTCTCAGCCTTCAACGTCACTCGCATTTGAGGAGCGGTGTGCCCAGCTGTCATACATAATACATGGGGGTTTTAATCTGCGCAGCCTCATGCGCTGCTGAGAACCCCATGGGAAGACCCTGCTCGCTAAGAGGGCCCCACACCAAAGCCTTGGAAGCCGTGGCTGCCCAAAATGTGATTTAATACGTGCGCTCAGCAGCCAGTATGTTCTGCCATTAATAAATGTGCTTAATAACCTGTTGTCTTCAAATCAAATGACTTATGAATCTTACATGAAATTTAATTACGCGACAGCCCCAATGTAAAGCTGTGCGAGCCGGCGTTTCCAGGCCTAGGATCCGTCCGGGCATTTGGTAGGYAGCAGCATCCAGACAAAGGGACCGCTTGAGCCAAACGCCAATTGCATTTTTAAGGGATGTTTTATTAGGCAAGGGAAGGAGCAAAAGTGATGCAAAAACTTAATGGCTGAAGTTTACGTAAGATTTGTGCAAAGCAGCAATGGTCTTCCCTTAGTAACTGTTCCTGACTGTTCCCTGATTCCCTCTCTTTCCAGTCAACCGGCTTTCTCTGCAGGACTCTGAGCTTATACAGCAAATACCCCTGTAATTACTGCAGAGTAAAAACCTGAAGTTATTTTACACCATCTCTCTTAAGACCCAGCAGCAGTCATATTGCAGCAACTGTATGCCATGTATGTATTTACCAGGTAAGCATTTATAGAGCTTTCAAACTGTGTTTTCCAGTAAAGGCTCAACACGGTGCTGCCCGCGTGCGATTGCAGCAGTCTCTGTGCCTGCTCACTCACTGCTAATTCAGGTATGTCCAGATACACTGAAATGAGAGCAGTGCGTTCCAGGGTTACGTACCTGAGATGGTTGAATTCTCATCCCCAGTTTCTGGAAACGGCCTTCCTTACATTGCCTGTGCTCTTGGAGCTGGTTGTAGTTTTTAAAGTTCACTGCCAACAGTTGATAATCCGGGCCTATCTGATAGTCTGAAACACTGGGCTCCTTAAGGAAATGTTCAAAGAGGCTTTAGCAGGAAAAAAAATGAACTCTAGAATTAAAAAAGAATGATAAACAGACTTTTTTTGTGGTAACAGGCTGAAAACAAGGGTAATACACAGACAAATAGGTCCATTGACAACATCTACTACTCAGAAAAATATTGACAAGAGGAAGTGAATGCCACACAAAGCAACTGGCCAATTATTGTCCGTGGCTTCAAATGTGCAGAAGTAGGTCACCGAGAATTTCCCCTGCCCAATTTCCAGATGGCAATAACGAGGTACATGGTGTGTCCTGTTCAGATCCTTTTCACAGTCTACTCTTATTTGATTAGGGGGTCTTCAGTTTTCCAGAAAATGTCGCTTTAACCTTTCAAAGTAGATCTAATACATTTCGGAGGAAAGTCTTAAAAAAAAAAACCCAGCTTTTAGTAGAATTTGATTGAAAATCTGAAAGCTGCTTCTTTGGTTTAATTCAGGCAGACCAGATAGGAAGTACAGTAGATCAAGCTGTAGTTAAGTCTTTCTTYTTGCGTAAATTGAAAGTTGCCGGCCTGTTTATGACTGTCATGGGCATCCTGCTTGCATCTAATGAAAAAGGATTTCATGAACATTCGCTTCAGTTGAACACAGTTTTGACCTAAAATTAGGTACGATTGAATTGATTAAAAGAAACAGTAAAGCATTTCCTCTCTGCTGACTTTTGCCCCTTAAGAGAACAAACTTGAATCAAACTTTGCCTGAGGTTCCAGAAGCTTCCAAAGATTGTAGTGAGTTTCTTTAGCACCAAGTTGCCTTTTAAGGTTGCCCTCATCCACATATTGAAGYGGGAATATGGATAACTTGTCGTTGTCTTCACTGTAGAGCTGTACGAAACATGGAAGAAATWCTGCTGGAGACAGTTGCCTTTTACAGGAAAGGTGCAAAACATCTCTCTCATATGTAAGATATTTAAAATAAATACCTTATAAGAAGTTTAAGCACTCTATACTGTGTATATAAGCACATTAACCTAAAGTATGTATAAAACAAGGTCATGAAAGCAAGTAAATCCAGTACTGCTGCTGCCATCACCAGCAGCAGTGGAACTCAGTCCATGTAATAAATTATATGTTTCCCTAGAGTTGAGAAAGCCTCTGAGGTATTTATTTGATTCACTCTCCCGTAGAAAGAAGTTGGTGAACGAGATTGAACAGTTAGAAAACACAAACACCAAAGCAAGGCCCTGCAGCAGCATGCTATTAAGTGTTCAATAAGAAAAGTTAAAGAATTTAGTGTTAAAGCAAGGGTCTTGGTAGAAAAAAAGAGGTATTCTGCTTTGAGAGATAAATCACTACATTTTGCTGGGGTCTTTTTCTGCATCACTGCTAGATGACCTACAAGGGACATAAAGGCATCTCTGTAAAGATTTACTGACTTTCCCTTCCTTTGAGATCCCRGTATTGCCGATGATGAGATACTGCCTTGATCTGATCAGTTTACCGTGAACTTCAGAGTAGTAGCTGCATTTCAGRCTTTAGGTTAAAATAAATAAGCTTGACAGGACTTAGAAAATATAGAAAAATGACAACAAGTTATGTGATATTTGGCTCAGCAGCAGAAGCAAAACGAGACTGCAATCATCTTTTCCTTGAATACGCTGTTTTGACATGATGGAAGCCTTTGTGGCCTTCCCAAGCTGCACACTGAGTTGTGAATGCAGAGTAGGGAGAGGAAGGCTTTGCTCCTAAGYGCCTAGGGCAAATGAACTCTTTTGTGCCCCCAAACCCAGTTCAGCAAAGCATGTCGGCCTGTGCTTTTGACCATTTCATTTCAGCAAGGCATGTAAAGAGCATGCCTAACTTTAAATATGTATTTAGCTTAATCATTTTGCTGAGCAGGGATTGATGACTGACTTAAGGCATTAAACATTAATGACAAAGCTGAGAACACAAAATGGTATGTAAATCAGGATTTGTCGGGACTGGAAGGAGCTGATTCAAACAACATGATCTTTGTACGATGAAGATTTCTTAGAAGATACAAAGCCATTAGAAGGGCTCAGGGTCTGGCGGCGGCGGCGGCTGGCACTCACTGACAGTCATTCCAGTCATTCCACCATCTCAATCACCTCTTTTCAGAGTGTCTGCTGAGAAGACCGGGGCGGGRGAAAACACTTTTCCCTAGAGTAAATGAAATAGGTCTCTGTTTTGGTGGCTACGATTTTAATCCTAGATGTTGTTCAGAAGCAGTGCTGACTAATCTGTGTGTTGACTTCATCCTTCAGGGTGAAGAACGTGGCTACCATGATAGTTGTTTGCAGATCTCTCCGTATTTGTGGCTACTGTTTTTTCTCGCTGCTTCTGGTCCTGCCGTGCCGAGTGTGCTGGGGCAGCTCCGCTCCTCTTTTCCTGGGAGGCTTTGGCACGAGTGGGCTCCGTGCGCGCGGTTGTGCCGGCTGCGGCGCRCGGCGAGCGCGGCTGTCACCGCGCGCCCACGGCGCTGGCTCCGGTGTTCCTGTCTCTTCAGGTCCTCGCAGGGCAGCCGAGCAGTTTACCCGGTGACTCATGAAGATGGAGATAGGGATAAAGYGGACTGCCGCTCTGTCCCGGAGTGGCTGAGGTAATGCTTGCAGCAGGGAGCAGCTACTGCATTCCTCCTTGGCGGAAGATCCAGCAGTTGCTCCTGCAAGGCTACATCATATTTTACTGCACTGCCCTAATTATTCCTCTTTGTTTGTTGTTTTTTATTTTTAATGTGTATGTATCTGTGTTTTTGCCCTTGTGGATGTACATTAACTTTCCATTTAATAGATTAGTCTCTTATTAATGGTCGTGAAATAATCAGGCTGCGAAATAACCAGGCTGCGTTTTTGCACGTTACATTAGTTTGAGCGGAAACAAAGTGTTTCTCCTTTATATAAAAAGCAGGGGTGAGTCATTTGGTAAAGTCCAACTTATCTCAGGGGCAGGTGAGTAAAGCAGCAGCTCTGACATTAGCTTCTGTGCCTGGTGAGGAGATCACCTGCAATGGATCCTTGACTGTATTTGTACATTGGGGATGTTTATGCAGTGAATCAATGAGCTCTGAAGGAAGGCATGAGATCAAGGGCAGCTTTGAAAATGCTCAAGGTAAGGTCCATCCATGAACGTTTTAAAAAGACAGAAAATAGCTCCCTCCCACACCAGAATAAATACGGTTCTTCGCTGTCAACAGAGCTGCTTTCAAAGTTAAGTCTATTCCTTGAATTAGAAGCTGCCTAAAAAGCCATAGCGAGGATGTTATGCAGCTTGTGGAAACTACARCAGAAATACTCAACTATGGATTTCTCCTTTGAAACATCTGAACCTTTTGGTAAATAGTGAGTGTTGCTTATGTGCTGAATTCCTGTTGTGAAAACTTCACGTTGCTTCTATAATATGAAAGTTCTGCTTACCAGAAGTAAGTAGAACGTAACAAGTAAGAAAAAGGATTAGGTATCCTTTTTTTTTTTTTTTTCCTAACTTAAAAATGAGTGACCTAGAATGAATATTTTTGTTACTTATTTTGTATTTGTTTTCTGTAGTACTGGGGAAAAAAAAGTAATATAAAAGATTTCACATAAATAGGTAAATTCCAGTAATTTAATGTAAAATATTTGTTAAAGAGCTTCAATATAATAAGAGCATGGCATAATTAAATCACAGTGTAGTTAACAGTTACTCTCTTCTGAGTATGATTTCATCACAAAAATAAATTCTTTGAATGTAAAGCATGCACAACACGAAGGACATCATAACTTCAGCTTCCCATCATAGGAGTTCTTCAGACCAAAGTGGCACATCGAAGAATGAGTTTTTTTGTGCATTTAACATGAGCAATAGTATAATGAAAACTAAATTTTTGTGCTGTTTTATAGCTGCTCTCCAGATTATATGTTTGTAAGCCTTGTGCCTGTTTTCCAGATCTCATTTAACATGAGAGAGCATGTTTTATACCTTGTGTATATTTACATAAAAGTGTATCTTCGTCTTACTGATACCTAATACACAGAAGAAATGGTAGAGACAGGCAAAGTATTATAACAGATTTTAAAGCATTAGGGCTTAACTGTTACAGCTGTAATGAACMATGGAAATCCTGGAGTCCTGCTGAGCTGTTCAGAGCTACCAGGATCCTGCTTTGAGCTGAAGACTGGCCTGGGCACCCTCCAGAGGTCCCTTCCAGTCTAAATGACTCTGGGATTCTGTGACTACTGCAAGGTCTGTTTTTTAACTGGCTTAAGTGTTTGTGAGTTGCCTGTGGCTGTTTGTTTTTGTTCAAATATGTATCCTACTCRAATAAATATACTACTCATTTAGCATTGTAGTAGCTAGAACAGTATAAACACATAATCCAGACAAGCTTTGTAAGGAGAAATAGTACCTTTTTYTGGACTAGCTGATATAGCTAGCGTATATATAYACATACTAACATATATATAAATATAGACACACACATACACAYACCCTGTTTTASAACTGAAAGAGAAGCAGCAAATGCCAGGATAAACACAGGCTGGGAACAATTGCTCTGATGGAATAAGAGTATATTCCTTTCTCCACATTTAGCAAATCAGACTGCTGGGAATTAGGATGAGAAGAAGACTTCTGCAATRATTTACTCTGGATGCTTCCATTGGAATGAATTACCAAGTGGACCGCTTTGGAACATTCGGCAGGAGCTCTCCCTTTGACCAGCAGCAGGTCCGTGCTCTGATCCCGTACGTTTACCTGCAATTCTCCATGGACATGAGGGCATTCTGGGGGGTTTTGGAGTGTGAGCAGACAGTCTGTCTCTACACAGGTTGACATCCGTGATTTACGGCCCTGATTTGTGATCTTGCTCTTGAGTTACACTCTGGCCGTTCCCGACACTTAGGGATACATTCCTTCCTGCTGAGCATTCCTCAGATGGCCRACATAAAACACGTCAGCCGCTGCAAACTCGTTTCAACGGTGTGCTGTTTGCAACGTGGGAGTGACCCTTAGGTTAGCACTCYTGGTGTTTTGCATGAGCAAGGGCTAGAGTAGAGTGAATACATGCCATAAATATTTACTTGCATTCAAAAGTGCTTTTTTATTTAACTGTGGTTATAATCTTTTCATATTTATTTGCTATGAATATGTAATGATTTTCACTTTACTAACATAGTATTTGCCTTTGAGAATTCCCATTTGCCTTACTCATGAGAAGAAAACATTTAATTCAAGTGTTTGGTCACCAAAAGGCAGTCACGAATTGTATATGTTATTTCAAAATGTTCCTTTGACTTTGTTTTGGTTATTTATTCTAATCAAATGTTATGGTCCCTATGAATAAAGCAAAGCAAATCTTGCAAATACTATAGTCAGACAATTAACATTCACACTTTACTTTTGTTAATTCAAAAAACTGTATGAATGTAGGTCAAAATATGCACATGGCATAAATTAAAGCCACCTGCTTTATTGCAGAGGATACATTCCCAGTTGAAAATTCAGTTACAAAATTCACCAGTTGCGTGATCTGCAGACCTACAGTTATTCACTGAAGTCCCTCATTCACAGCTTTCATGTAAGTTATGAGCATATTTGACTCTCAAACTGCAGATCTACAAAAGATTCGAGGTAAAATTTGCCGGAGAATACGCTCTGGGAAGGTGAGGTGAGTTGGAGATGCGGGACACGCTTGCTTGGTGACTTAGCAGGAGCTCACCAGGAGAGCACAATGCTTCAGAGCATGCAGATGGGTTTTGCCCTTTGCTTTTGAAGAACATTCCTGCTGAACATCCGCATGGAAAATGTGGGAGCAGGCAACATGAGCGGCCCCACTGCCCAGACAGATCTTGCAACTCGAGTCAGCCACGGTGCTACCGACCTTGCAGCACAGAAAATACAGCCCCAGGACAWCCAGGAGACAAAACGGGATTTAAGAGGCATTTTAGGGAATGCACATCATATGTTTTCTTCTCACAGATGCACTCTTATTGCCCTCAGATAGGCAATTCAAACAGAGCATTATTATATGCTTTATTATTTTCARTACATCTTTGGAGTTTTTTTAGTCAGTCTATAAAAAAACTCCTGTAGAAGATGAAATTCATTTTTATTTGAAGCTGAGTCATGACACAAGCAGTATTTAACAGATTTCTGCAATCTGTCCAAATTTGTTTATAAAAAGAGTATGTTTTCTACTACTGCCTTTCAGTTCAGACCAGATCTAATAAGTTCCAGAAGGAATAGCCAAGATTTGAAGATGGGACTTCAGACTGTTCTTAATAAAGGGCTCTCTACAAATATGCACTGACTCTCCAGAAACTCGCAGTCAGCAGTATTCCTCATGCTAGTGATCTATGTCCAGCCTTTCCGCATATTTCAAACTTTCAGTAATGCTTATTATTTCCAGAATAAGCCCTTTTTTTCCCCCCTGAAGAAAATAGCAGATTCGTGTTTACTGAAATAAGGATGTACAAAAAAAATTTGAGAGTAAATATATGCCGCAGATTCATTYCTGTTTTGCCAAAATCAGTTTTTAGAGAACTCTGCTAAAGCCTACATGATATCTCCTCAGTTACTGCTGTAATTTACCTTTCAGTGAATGAAGAAATGGCATAAACTTCAGAGCACACAAAATCATGTGGTTCTGATTTTAAAACTGTATTATAACTCATTTTTAACATGCTATGCAAGATTAATGTCCGTTCATCATCCTCATATTGTCAAGCTTAAACAACTTCAAAATTGCAGTTGGGGAATCYTAACTTGCTGTACAAAGGAGCTGTCTCCTTACAGAACCTGGGGTATTTAAAAGGAAACTTGGACAATATTTTGAAGTCTTTGCAGTTTTACAGCCAGGGGTCAATATCTTGTGTAGACATGCCTCAAAATTTGAATGTATTTAAGTATGATCAAATCTCTCTTCTAATTCTGAAATACTTTTGACATATGAGGCAAATTCAGGGAAAACCTTGGCTAGCAACTTTCAGGACAAAATGATAATTTATTTTTGAAGCTCTTTGCTGTGGTAAATGACTTGGGAAATTAGCTGGAAGTGCTCGTCTGTTTGAATTTCTGATTATTGGGTAGCATATCCCCAAATTTGAGTTCATAGGCTCTTTATATTTTCAAAATTCCAATGTTTGATTTTAATACATCTTTTACATTTTCAAATATTTTAATATCTAAGATAAAACATAACATATATGTGATTTATGGCATATGCTATACATTATATATTATATAACTCATAACTCATATTAATATAGATGTATTTTCACAGCTGTCTTAAAAGTCATCAAGCAGACAATGTATTAYTCCAATAAAATGTTTTCCATTATTTGAAGCCTCTGGGGTCACAAAGAAACCCAAATATTTAATCATTCTCTGAACTGAAAGGGTGTTAACTTATTGTTGAAAAGGCACAGTCTTTTGTTTTGCAAGATATGGGATTTTAGCTATGAATGAATCTTAAACAGCTTCATTTAATTTGCTGCCATAGACAAGCAAATTATTTGAATGACTTCAGATATGAATGACTTCAGATAATGTTATGGTACATTTTTTTAAGCTTCTGCCGCTGTGCTCTTTTTCTAATGTTCATTTTTCTTAGCTACAAAATGGATTTCAAAAGTTTTGCTTTTACAAGTTATCCTGGAATTATTTTTGTTGTCCACTGCATTTATATGCAATCCGGTCTTTGACAATTGAAGTTGTTAAGAGACTTCTGTTTGAGCTGGGGAAAGCCTCCAGACAAATACTTGCTTGGTCTGTGCACGGTCAGTACTCAACAATTCCAGAAAGTGTGACATGGATTTTCGYTTTAATCAATGACATTGATTTAAATTCTGTCTTAAAGAGAGGTTACTGTCACAATCATGGGCTCGCGTGGAAATGTAGCTTGGCCAAGTAAAAATGAGTGTTTAGCAGAGTCTACCTTACTGCCTCATTGCTGTTCTATGCAACACTACTGCAGTTACTGTTTTCCACACAGCTAATATTTATTCGTGGTGAATAGGCCCGGTCCTAGTGTGACTCCCTAGTGGGACCTGACCCGGAGCGGTGTGTCGGCATCCRCCGCTTTGCTGCTGTGTGTGCTGAGGCCCAGGGACACCGGGGCTGCAGAGCTGTGCTCGCCAAAGGTGTAAGGACCGGGATGCCTGGGCTTGCAGGGCAGCCCACGCTGCTCTGCAGGAGCACAACAGCTTCTTCCGAGCTCTCTCACAAGCTCTTTAGTTTTACCTGGTGSTCACGGTGAAGGCAGGCCTCCAATGCAGCTTTCTCTTGAAACCCTCAACCACCCTCAACTGATTCACTCAAATATTTTTTATCTTTCTACTTACATCCTGGGGCCCTCCCTCCATCAACAATTCTTACTCACCAAGCAGAATAACACAGCAAAAACCTACATACACCATCCAAAGCTGAAGCATCCTTCCTGCAAGCTGAAGCCTGGCTGAAAGAACAGAGGGCCTTCTAGGACAGGGTCTACCAAGAAACTCCCATAGATTGCGGGCGCCCTTGCTCCGTGTCGGCTCTGTAGCACCCACTGCTCTTCCTCGTGCATCATCTCCTTGCCTGGCTTAGGAGCCTACAAACGGTGGCCTGAGTAGTGGGATATTTTAACAGGCAAAAAGGGCAGCCACATCCACGGCTTTCATTTCAGACGAGCAATTTAATGCAGTCTTAGAACTTCTTTTTTTTATTATTTTTAAATGCTACGAATAATATTAAAATGCTAACTTTATTTGGGCTGGCTTCTACCTTGAAAGCGAAGCTTAATCRAGAGCTGTTCTGCTTAGTGTTGTTCTACAGAGGTTTGGTTGATTGATTCAGCTCTTCTCTTACTCAGGYGATGAATGAAATAAGTGTTGACTCTTAAATTAAAGAGTGGGCTATCACCTTCAGGAAGAACTCAAAGGAATTGGGAAGAACATCAAATAAGGGACACCTTACTCAAATAATGAGCGCCTTGATGACAGAGGTGTGAATATTCACTGCCTAGTTTGAAAGGAAAGATCAATTTTGCTGGTGTATGACAACGCTCTGAATGCCCAATTTGTTAACTATTAGTGTATGCTAAGAAAAGCTYGTCACTTTGATAAATGAATGGAAAAGAACCTGTGTATGGTTCAATCCAAGGCATTTTTTYATTATTACTAATATTATTAAATGTGGTATTTTGGCCTGTCTTTTGGCTAGGTAGCCAATCATGTTATGCTAGTTAATCCTGTWCCTTTGTGGGCTTTAATTATAAAAGTACCTAATACTGTAGATGACTGCTTCTAATAAATTAAAAATATCTGAATAAATAGAGAGACCTTGTTGTCCATTAGGTGCAATATCCGGGTATGGTTAAACCCAGGAAAGTCTGCTTGAGCTCTTAAGGTAGAAAGATTTCTTTGCAGTTTAACACAAGTATAAAGGACATGCTCTGAGCTCTAGCAGATGCTTGAAACGTAAGGACATGGAAAGTTTTGTTCACGTGCATAAATAAAAAGCACATAAAGCATCAGATTTTGTCTGCTAAGTCCTCCCATGTATTGTCATTAATTCTGTATTTCACTGTGAAAGGGCATTTTGTGGCCCTGTAAGATTTCACATGTTCAGCTGTGCAATTTAACCAGTTTTTGTAGCCCACAGAAAAGCAACCTATTTATGTTTCCCAAAAGCAAGGGTTCTTATGCATAGGAAGAGAAAATGATAAAATGCCCAGGTCGTGGCCAGTGTTAGCACTTGCCTCACCAGTGGTGCTGCTAGTCACACTGCAGAGTCAGTGCAGCTTTCTGTTGTGGCACTGTTGTGGCCACTGATTTTTGGCAGTCTGAAGCGGCTGAAACTTGCCACGTTTTTTGCTCAGGCCCCGGTCTTTTTGTAAGTACATACAACTCTATAACCTTTATCTAGGTACAGTTTTTAGTGAGTGTTTCTTGATGAAGACTCTAGAATACCTACAGAGAAATGCAGCTCTCTTGAAAGCCTGGCCTGATCATCACGAGCTAAGTAAGTAGCTTTGTCATTCTACATCAGTGTAATCACAGCATCACAGAAGGGTTGAGGTTGG